GTCCACACATCTTAAAGTTGCCAAGGTTGAGAAACTGTGCTGTAGGTTAATAGAAAAAGATGCATTTTCAAAGCCTTCTTAAAAGCTAAGGTGGACAGCCGCCCCCATACTGTACTGCAAAATCAGTTCCACAGACGTGACATAATCACACAGAAAGGTCAGTCTCAGGACCCTCCCCAGATGCTATTAGTGGGCAGAGGGAATCCTGCAAGGAAATCCTGCAAATAAAGGTCACTTCTATTGGGTAGAGACTGCCCCAGGAAATGGTGCAGTGCAAGTTGAAATTGTATTTTAATGGCTACAGTCTGACTATAAACAAATTTAGTCAGAAAATTAAGAAAGGGTTTAAAGTATTTGGACTGTGTGCAATAAAAACAAATTCAAGGTAAAAGCTTCTCTTAAATCCATTAAGAACTGTATTTTGTGATTTCATTCTTAATTTCCAGTTAAGGCACGCAGGAAGGAAAAAAGAAAAGGGGACTTTTTTTTTTTTTTTTTAAAGACTAGCACACTGGCAGTAAGATCATTTTAATTTGTGTGATCTACTTAAAACTGGCAGATGAGTGCCAAAATCACTCTAGGGTCTGAAGGCCCTCTGAAATAAAATTGTTTTAGGCAAGCAGCAGACAGAATATAGAATACAGGCTAATCCCAAGGAAGTGACAAGTGATAAACTAAGGGCTATTACTGAGAAGGCTGGCCTCCTGGTCCAAGTCCCCTTAATCTCCTGTGGGAGTCAGAACACAGAGTGGGCCTCCCTTGATGTTTGAATTGATGGGCAAAACCAACCTTGGCAAGACATTCCCTTCTGGTGCCTTGCCATCCATCCATATGCGTTACAGACAGACAGACAGACAGACAGACACACATATATCTATATTTCACACAATCTATAGAAAAGTATTTCCCCAAGGTACACATGATATTGATAAATGTCCATCAATATTGTTCTAAAGGGGCATTATTTTGCAGGTACCTACCGCACAGTTTTTGAGCAGCTGGAAATTTCAAGTGAATGTATAAGGTTCAGTAAGATCTGGAAGAGGGGGCTAACTCCAGGTCCTGACCACTTGAGATTGTTACTATCATGGGTGGTAGATCTTCTCCACTGCTGTCTTCCCTTCTCTGGATGACTGTATCCCCTGAGATCAGAATGGCCTCATCCTGTTGTTTTCAGAAGCCCATTAAGACCTGGCTCTTTGAGGAATGATTTCAGTCTGTTCCCAGTGAACAAAGGTTGTATATTGTATGGTGCTGAGTATAATCGTGTCTTATTTTGTTGTTTACTACCATATTTTTCTTTTTAAATATTTTTACCATATCTGAAATTATAAACTGTTCAGAATCATTTTTGACTGGAGCTTCAATAATCAGACACCCCCCCTCCCAAACAGTCATAGTCTTTAAGCATTCTAGCTTATACCAAGAGAGAAACTAGGGAAATACACACACTCAAACACATATGCATACTTTCTCTTGGATTAAGCAGCATTATGCAAAGCACAAAAGAGTACTGAGAAATAGTAAGCCAAAGAAATTAACACTAGGTAAGAAAAATAACTGAAAATGTTACATTAGCTACTGACCAGTAGGAGGCATTACATGACTGGTTTTGCCCTTACTGGGAAACTCTGGGCGTAGGTATCCTCCATACTAGTAGATATCTTAAGCTATATAAGTCCCCCTTCACCCTGTTTAAGAAAAAGTGATCTTGAGGGCTCTAGCATGAGTCCCAGACCAATAAAATAATAAAAACTCTTTAGTATGAGAAAATATAGAAAAAAAGGCATATCTGCATAGCTTTTATGACTGAAAATATAACTAGATCTAGTTTACACCAAGAAGCTGGTGTACTTTTTTTTTTTTAAACCATTGCTAGATAAAAACTTCATGCTTCAGAAATCTCTCCATTAATCCCCAAGGTGAATGGAGTTTTGTGGCCAATGTGTACCAATGTTATAATTCCTTATAATTCCATTTCCCTTCCACAAAAACTTGAGATGGCTCTGTGTCTTGAATACACAGCCTGAAAAAATGATGGCTGTAACTAGTGTTTCTTGCTTTGCTTGCATCCTATGCCACAATTCTTCCAAAATATTCATCAGGCACAGGACAGCAATCTTTACACCCAGGGAGCAAATGATTACTATTTTTGCAGGAGTTAGGACCCCTCTTTGCTCATTTCTGGTTCTATTTCTGCTTCTCTTTGCCAATTTTTCTTTAGAATGAGAGTAAGTGCTGGGATAAATTTATTTTGTTACAAATAACACTTTTGAAGGATCAAAAAATTCTACTCTTGACTTGGGGATGTGCAGCAACATCAGTGTTTGAAGACAGTAATTGTACTAAACTCCAGGAGAACTAAGCCTCTGAGAAATCACCACAAAAGTATGGCTTTCATCGGGTTAAGACAATATAAAACATAACAGATAAAAACCAGAAATGTTTCAAAAACGTAAAAATGACAAGCTATTTTTAACATTAGAATGGAGACTTAAAGGCTACCAGCGGTATATGCATTAACATTATACATACAATCATTAAGCTAAAACAAGACATTTCAGGAAGAAATGGGTGCACCCTACATCAGAACTCTAGCACTAATGACTTCCATCAATGCTGCCAATGCTATCACATTACTCACATCTATGAGCTAAACCCTTCATTTTAGCTGTTAGGGAAAAAAACTCAGTTCACTCAACCACCAGCTGTTAGAATGTAATAAAGTAGAATTAAGGAGCCAAAATGTCTCTACAGTGAAGCATTTGTAACAATGCTAAACAATTTACAAATGGAAGTCAGGATCCTTTTTTACTCTGAAGTCAATATATTTGTCCTAGAACTTCTTGGATCACAGTCTGGTTTTTCAATTACTGCAAAAACAACATTTCTCTGTTATTCTACATCTCCTATTTTATCATAATCCTCCCTTTGCAAACCCATTAATGCAAAACTGGATGATTAATTTTGGAATAATTATTGAAAATTGCCCAGTTTTCAAGCTAAAGTAGCCATGTTTTTAAACAACTACAGTATTTGTATAATGTTAATAAATTCTCTGTCAAGTTGAACTCAACTACTGGAAATCACCATATTGTTTTCTTGTCAACAACATGGAGTGATTTGCCACTGCCTTTTCCTAGGATTTGTTCACTTCTCAGTTTAGCCTGGTACCTCATAATGGTCTTCCACCTAAGTAGTAATCAGATCCAACCCTGTTTAGCTTTTCAAGGCTAGTCAAGATTGGCTAAGGGCTGCTAGCTAGCTGGGCTATGCAATATTACCCATGAAATAGCGGGCTTTTCTACCTGAGAAGAGATTAAGAGAAGCCACTGGTCTTCTAGGTTTGGTTTCCTACCCTAGCTGATGGTTATAAAGACCACAATAAACCATTCATAAAACATTCCTGATACATACATATCTGGGAAAGACGACAATATTAATTTATCTTTAAAAGAAGCTTTAACTACTCAAGGTTCACCATCAAAGGCACTATTGTCCAGGAGACAACTAGTAAATTATTTAGCATTTTGTAGCTCTTTGTACAAGTACAACACTTAACTTGTTCCAGTAAAAGCCATTATTATGGCCCTGTAAAGACTTTTGTGAAATAGAATGCACTTCATCAGAGGGAAGCTTATGCTATGATAAAAAATTAAACCTTTAGGGTGCCACAAAACTCTTTATTGCATGTGAAGTAAAAGACCAGTACATTGCCCTTTGGGAAACTATTCAGCTAAGCTGACCCACCCACTAGCTTGCAACAGACTGCAATGGGTCAGTGGGTGAGACATACCATTTGAACCAGTGGCAAAGGGTTCACTGGTTTTAGATTGTAAACTGTAACCTAAGTTGAATATTTCTGATAGAAAAATAGGTCAGTTTAGTTTGAATGAAACTTTTTAGTGGTTTCATATGCATTAATACAGATTAATATACCTCACCGAATGCTTGGAAGAGAAAATTAGTAACCCTTTTGCCCTCCACGCAGAGTCTTACCTGTCATCAGTAGCCCGATGACGAAAGCTGGTATTCCTATCCAGCTTAGATTGGCTCTTTGTTCTTTTGATTGAGCCTCTAAGCCGTCTACTAAAGAAGCCCTAAAAAAAGACACAAGAAATAAAATTATGCAAACTATTACTACTATCAGTATTTTTCAGTAGCTTCTCTTTAAAACTGGCTTTGGTAATGGTCGGTTTATGCAACCCAAAATATAATAAAATTTACCCAAATATAATTAAGACAAACAGTAATTGTGATAATAGAACTTATCTTTGTCCCAGGTAGGAATTCAAACAAATCACTAACAGAGGAAGAAAGTGGGTTATATCTTAAAACTCTCTAGGAATATTAGAGAAACAGGTTTATGTCAGCAATAAAACATCACTGCAGAATAAAATATGCCTTTAAATTGAATAACAGTACAATTTGTTTAGAATTGCCAAACAAGGCCAGGAAGTGAAAAGGGAATGTTTTATGTGATGTTAACTGGAAGTCTGTTGGAATGGGAAGCAACATGGTGAACTAGATTTGACACTTGCTCTAATTTAATAATTAAATTTAAGGGAATTAATATCCCATCAAATCTTAGCATAGATGACTCTGAGATAATGAAGAAAATATGGGGTAAGCTATCTCTCATTGTCAGCATCTTCAATCTTTTCTTTCTCAGTCCTTATAACAGACCTATCCTTGAACCAAAAGAACTTTGAAAAAATGTGTTTAACCTCTGGGTTAAAGTTTTAATTAGTAAAGATCGTTGCCTCATTAAACTCTAGGACAATTATTGCTTAGCATTTCAAAGAAAGGTTAACATCCTACTATAGCCCCAATCTTATATATTGCAGGTAAAGTGAAAAACATGTGTCTAAAGTGTGGTTCTACAGGTTATCAGGCCAAACTACATGACAGAATCTTCCATTAAAAAAAAAATCTCTGCACAATGAAGGCTAAAAAGTATAGCAAATAACCTTTCTATCTGGACATAGGTAGAACATAAAACATAAAATGTGGCATTATTTACCTGGGAAGATAATTATTTGCAAGCTACAGTTCCTCCCACCCAAATGTGCTATGTCCATTTGTCCATTCTATTTACTTTCTTTCTGGAATACATATGGTCTCATTTACTTCTGCAAAGCACCTAAGTGTGAATTGCTGGTCTAAAATAAAGCATATAAACACAACCAGCACCAAACTCTTCCTCATCAAATTTGTCACTGAAAACATGGGAGACACACTTGTTGCTCTGTGCCACAGCTTTTAAATCATATGATATCAAAACATTTCTAGTATGTTAACACATGCGCAAATATGCATATATAATCACAGCCAAGCAATAAAACACAGGAAGGCAGAAGTTTAAAAATCCTGGATAAAATAATTTTCCTTGAGAAAAATAGAAGGGCTCATAATCAGATGCTATTTATATTCTACATCCACAAACATATTGTGCCATGTTAGTAGTCCTGCCAGCTTTATAGGCTCAGCAGAGATATTTAAATAAAATTGTATTCATAGTTCATGAGGAAAGATCAGTTCAGCAAGGAAATCTAATTTAATCATTTGTTGATTACAGGTAACATTCTATTTATTGACTCTGCATGTTTCAATAATTCTAAAACCTGATTTCAAGAGATGACTATTAGTAACAGAAAATTCACTTCTGTTTTTTTCATAAAAATAAAGTACTGCTTTGATGATCTAGAGATGCCTTCAGGTGTATTTTCATTTCATTTTGTATTGAATAATTGTATTGCTTGAAACATACAGTATTACAGTATTTTTTCAGTATCATTCAAGTGGAAAATTAAGAAATTAGGTAAAAGGAATTTCAACTGTCACACAAATTTAGCACTTAAAAGGGAATACAATTAAGCCAGATTTGGATAATTTGTACCTGAACTGAAGTGATATTTTAGTAAAAATAATTAATGAGAGAATAAAGAAGAAATGATTGAGCAAACAATGGGAAGGAAAGGGGACAACAGAGGCAAGATCTGTAAAAATAAAGTCCCAGTGCCATTAAGATGCCTATCTACAGTTGTCCATGGCACTGAAAACCAACCTAGTTAAAGAATTATTTGAGGAGACGTTTTGAAAAATGCCTTACATAGACAAGTAATCAATATACCCTATAGGCTTTTATTGGAGTTACTGTAAAAACATAACTATAATAATTGATTGCAGAGATGATTCAGAAAAGGCATCCTTAAACACAATCCTTAATGGAGTGCAAGATCAACTTGAAAGATACATAATTGAGTCAATTGGAAATGTTGAATGTGCAGATAAGTGAAAAATTGCCAAGAAAACCCAACAAAATAATTCTTCTCAAAACTTACAACACTAGCAAAAAAGGAGTCGAAAGATAGGCTAAAGGAGGCTGGGGGATTGCAGGGAAGAGGAATGATACATCTCCTTCTCTCCTGAAGAAAAATGTAGTGGTCAGAGGGTTGAGGTAGTTCAGGATAAACTGATAAATTAAATTAACAAGTCGTTGGGTTAGGATGGTTTCCATTCAGTTGTTTTTAAATATGAAGATGCTACTATTCTAGCAAGAATATATAACTTGTTCCTAAAACTAAGTACTAGAGGCATGAAAAAAATCCCAAAACCTTAATGTAACACTGATTTTTCAAAACTATTTATGACACGACAGCACATTTGCACTGGAAAAAACCCTGTAATTTAAGGGTTGAATGATTAAGTGAAAACTCAAGTCTTACTGAAAAAAAATTAGCATGGCTTCTGAAGGGCAAGTCTTGCTTTACTATACATTTAGCATTTTCTGAAAATGTCAACGAAGCACATGCACTGACTGATCTGATAGACCTTGCGTATTCAGATTTTCACTGTATTGTCTGTTTCTTCTTCTTCTTCTTTTTTTTACAAAGTCAGATGCTAAAAGTACCTGATTAAATTCTCAAGGATTGGTAATGAGAAGTACAAATGGACAATTCTCAGAATAAAAGAAAGACAGAAAAAGACCCCTAAGCATCTGAATGAGACTATTTCTTTTTAACTTATTCACAAATGATCTGAGTTTTGAGATAATGAAGAAGCTAATTCTGATTTATTCAACCTAATGAATACCAAAATGGAGCAAAGATCTCCAAAATGATTTTTCTAAGCTAAATGACTGAACAAAATGACAACTACCCACTTTAAATTTAATAACAGGCTATTGGTAAAAAAAAAAAAAAAGCTAGGGTCTTGAGCAAACAATATATATTATGGCGAATGTGGTGGATTGTTCAATAAATAATCAACAATATGAAATGGCAAAAACTCTTCCTAGGAATAAAATGACCAGTATCATGAAGATTGTATACTAATACTTGTAAAGGGTGATGCTGATGAGGCTTTCTGCTCTGGCCAGAAAAATACAGGACTGAGTAAAGATTTATTATTGTGTCTGGTATAAAGTTTGACAATACTCATCTGTAGCACAGCCTCACTTGGAATGCTGAATACAGTTTTTATTATTCTTCATATAAAAAGATATTGTAAGTCTGGAAAAAGAGCCTAAAAGGACAAGTAAAATGTAGTACCTTCTCTACAAGCTGTTTCCTTTTTTTTTTGTTTTGCTATCCTATGAGACCTATGTTTCGTATTAACTGATTTAACATTATTGTATTACCATAATTTTTAAACCATGATTTGCCAACTGCTATGATAGATTTTAAGGGGAATGGTATATGCATAGTTTTAGTAAATAAAAATAAATAATCTCTACATAATTAAAAAGAGAGACAACTGCATTATCTTCCATATTTTCCCTCTCAAAGGGGCAGCTATAACTCATACAGTCTTTAAAATTGTTTTAATTTTAATTTAGGTATGTTTGCTTATAACTTTGTAATATAAAATGTGATATATAGCTATGACAATAAACAACATATGCACAATTCTTCTCCACAAGCTATTTTACATTTCTTATGGAAAACAATCCATGAGAAATGGGTCACCATCCTAGGTTATCAACTATTCCTAAAGCAATTCAAAAAATACTTCAGAAATTGTCAGGCACAACTACTCAGAGAAGCTGAACATTTTCCTCCCCTTGTATTATAGCTCTATGCCACCCCC